ATAACAGCCACCAATTTCTGCCCTCCAAATTACACAAAAACTGAAGACATTTGGTGCAATCCTCCACAACATCACTTTGATCTGTCATTGCCTATGTTCTTAAAGATTGCTGAGTACAAAGCAGGGGTTGTACCAGTTGTTTACAGAAGAGTTACTTGCCAGAAAAAAGGAGGTCTAAAATTTGAGATGAAAGGGAATCCTAATTGGATTCTTGTTCTTGTTTTCAATGTAGGTGATGTTGGAGATGTTGTCAATATGAAAATCAAAGGATCTAAGACTGGATGGCTACCGATGAAGCGGAATTGGGGACAAAAATGGGAGATTTCTCAGCAGTTGATAGGACAAAGCTTGTCATTCCAAGTACAAACTAGCGATGGCAAATGGGTTCAATCTGATAATGTTGTTCCTCATAACTGGCAATTTGGTCAGACATTTGAAGCAAAGAATAATTTTTAGTCATTATGTAATTTGGAAAATGAGTAGTTTATCATCTTTTTTTTTTAGAAGTTTTTTGTTTCCGATAAATTTTCTTATTTTTGAGTGAATATTGTGCAAGTAAGGACATTGTGATCATTTTGTTTCTTTATTTATTTTTTCTTATAATATACTAGAGTTAATTGCGTGGTGAGAAGACAGACGATAATGAACTTAAAGAACACATTTTAGCATTTATAAACGCTTAAAATATGGAGCAAAGGAAATAAATCACCATCACCAACACCTATGTTTTTTTCACCTTTTAACATATTAAAATTTCATTGAACATAAATTTGGTTATTAGACTTTTTTACTTTTTTGGTTGAATACATTTGCGTTTAGGACATGCATGAAAACTACTGCAATTACCAATATTTTTTTAATAGTTTAATGCCTAGAAATTATAGTGGGGAAAATATGTTTTTATTGTTTAAATAATAATAGCTTTATAGAATGAGCATTCATACCGTGCGAAGCAAAGCATGAGGCAATTTGCTAGTATTTATATTGAAGGATGAATTAGCCAGTTGATATAGTATGCCTCAATAATCAAGAAGCATATTTTTCTATTTCCTCAGATTTTTAGAGTTTTTTCCCACATAAATGGATTTTAATTAATCAAATTTAAGAAAGAGAAATATACTTTTACAATTCTAATTTACAGCCCATAATTGTTTCCTCAAATTAAGGCTATAATAGTTGCAGACATAGTTTACAATTTCTAAATTCAGAATTAATGCTTTTCATCTGCCAAATTTTAATTATGCAACTTTTTTTTTTCTAATTCAATTATTCATTAAAAAATAAAATAATAATAAGATAAATTTTTTCCCATTTAAATATATGAAAGTCAAATAAATTTTAAATTTTCGTTTTTAAAAGAAGTTTTATTCACTATGCAATTATACCTTATAATGATTTAGTTGACTGTCTCTTTTGTTTTGTTTAGGTAGTAAACATCTCTATTAATTACATTAAAAGACCAAAGACTATACAGTAACAAATCACTAAATTTCGACTTATCCTACTTTTCTCAGTAAACTACAAGACAAATGAAGTAATTAACTCTCCAATTCTTTTAGAAAAATAAAATTGATGTAGATTTGCTTACTTAGAACTTATATAAGCACAAATGCAAATACTAATTAATTGATAAGAATAGTAATCCAATTACAATATTTATTCTTATTACTGTAATTTCCATTTTTTCTAACGGACTTAATATTATGGCTATAAATTGTATGTCCAAAGCAAAGCGTCTAACACAAATCAACTAGTGAGTTGAAACTAGTTTAGAGAAAAAAAATTGTTTTTAGCTAAATTGCCAAACATCAAAGTTTCTTCATTTTGTTTATCACATTTGTTGCTATTTTTTTAGCAGAAAGATATGAAGGTAAAAAAGTTGAAGGAAATTTGGATGAACAGGGATGGAAAAATGCACGAGCTACATTTTATGGTGACATGGGGGGAAATGAAACTATGCGTAAGTTATACTTGTACCTTAATTCATTATATATTATATATGTTGTTGAGACACTTATCATGGTGTCGAGATCAATGACGAAGTTAGAAATTTTATTTTTTGAAAATATTTGAGATTGAATATATATATAAATTTTCGATTAAATTTGTTCAATTGACTACCTTTTTCATACTATGCGCAAGAACATGATGTTAAGATATGTTACAACGAAATGTCGAGATATGTTGCAACATATAGACCAAAAATGATTTTTCCATCACATTTCACCTACCGTAGGGCTCTTCTATCCAGATTTAGGATGAACAATCTAAAGTAAGCTCACACTAACAAAAGAAAACTATTTTATTTTCATTTATTTTTACTTTTTCTTTTGTATACGCCCTACATTCTAATATAAATAAATTTCTAGCACCTTTTTTTATGGTCCAAAAGAATAAAAAATTTCAAATGCCAAAGATATGTTTTTTTTTCGTAACATGTGAGTCGAGGGTCCTTTAAAAACAATTTCTCTACCTTCACGAGATAAGGGTAAGGTATGCATACAGTCTACCCTCCCGGAACCTCGCTTGTGGAATTTCACTGAGTATGTTGTTGTTGATGATGATGTTTTTCATAGATATTAACATTTGTAACAAATTTATTTGAATACTATTGCAGAAGGTGCTTGTGGTTATGGAGACCTATTCAAGCAAGGGTACGGCCTGGAAACAGCGGCACTAATATAAATAAATTTCTAGCACCTTTTTTTATGGTCCAAAAGAATAAAAAATTTCAAATGCCAAAGATATGTTTTTTTTTCGTAACATGTGAGTCGAGGGTCCTTTAAAAACAATTTCTCTACCTTCACGAGATAAGGGTAAGGTATGCATACAGTCTACCCTCCCGGAACCTCGCTTGTGGAATTTCACTGAGTATGTTGTTGTTGATGATGATGTTTTTCATAGATATTAACATTTGTAACAAATTTATTTGAATACTATTGCAGAAGGTGCTTGTGGTTATGGAGACTTATTCAAGCAAGGGTATGGCCTGGAAACAGCGGCACTAAGCACAGAACTCTTTAACAATGGATCTACCTGTGGAGCTTGCTTTCAAATAAAGTGTGTCAATGCTCCTAAATCATGCCATCCTGACCAAATCATAACTATAACTGCCACCAATTTCTGCCCTCCAAATTACACAAAAACTACAGACGTTTGGTGCAATCCTCCACAACAACACTTTGATCTGTCATTGCCAATGTTCTTAAAGATTGCCGAGTACAAAGCAGGGGTTGTACCAGTTGTTTATAGAAGAGTTACTTGCCAGAAAAAAGGAGGTCTCAAGTTTGAGATCAAAGGGAATTCTAATTGGATTCTTGTTCTTGTTTTCAATGTAGGTGATGTTGGAGATGTTGTCAATATGAAAATCAAAGGATCTAAGACTGGATGGCTACCGATGAAGCGGAATTGGGGACAAAAATGGGAGATTTCTCAGCAGTTGATAGGACAAAGCTTGTCATTCCAAGTACAAACTAGCGATGGCAAATGGGTTCAATCTGATAATGTTGCTCCTGCTAACTGGCAATTTGGTCAGACATTTGAAGCCAAGAATAATTTTTAGT